AGCTTTAGTAGAAATCTAAATATTCTATAATTAGTTGAAAGAGGAAAGCTTTGAAAGCTCCCGAGCTGTTCACATCAGTTTTCATAAGCTTTCAGCATTGCGCCACGCATATGCAAGAGCATGTTGAAAAGCTCACGCAGCACAGCTTTCACCACGATGTCATGGTGCGGCCTGACCACAGCGCGTATAAGTTATTTTACAACCATATATGGCTCTAACTGTAGCTAGGACGGGATTTACGAGCTGGAAGCCAAACAAAAAAAGTGTCCTGCATTTACACACACACACACACACACACTTTCATATATATATATTTATATGCTCATATACATTCAGCTTTGTATTTGTTTATCGTACGTATGTATGGTAAATAGTGCCAGGGAATCGCATTGCATCGCTTCTTGATATTAAATTGAATAATAAAAACGACTTTATTTCGCTGTTGACCAAAGGTCTGATAGAGTTCGTTGCAATATATTTTTTTTAAATTAAATAACATCAGTTCTTGCTGAAGCTGTTGCTTTACCATAACTATGCATTCATTAATACATGATTTTTCCCTCTCTCTCTCTCTCTCTTTTCTTTCGCAGGTAAGTTTGTTTCACGTTAATGCACTTCAACTGTAAGTATAAAGTTAGTTTGATAAGCTCTTGCGCCCCTGCCGCGCCGCACAGAACCATTTTGAATGGACTGAACCGACTAATAGACTCGCTAAGTTCATTATGACCCAATTGGGGAACAAGCTCTGCAGCATGCTGAGCCCGCTGTCGCACTCGTGCCTGCAGTTCAATTTGTGATCTCCGTCCGTTCAGCCAAAGGGCAGCTGGCAACATGTTCAATCAAATTTGCTGTCAATCCACGCCGTCATGCGGCGGTTGCTCTAGACTCATACATGTCTAACTAGTGTGCTGCTCCATCGATAACTGCATAGAGCAACTGGCGTTGGCCAGCCTGCCCCTGCACTGTCTGCAACTTAACTAATTTAACTCTTAGATATTCTAGTCTGAACTGCTAGCTGCAGCTGCAGCTGCGAGCTCAGCGGGAAAATCATCATTTTGCGGCCTAATATAATTACTTTGTCTCTCAGACTGTACAGCATTTTAGACAATGTATTCACTTTGATTAAAGATGCAATAATCGATAAGTGCTCTTAACGCTTAGTTATTAATTTAAAGATACATAGAAAATATTATGAATATACATAAAATTTTTACCAGTCAGAAAGATATATTATAAAATTGTGTAATCGATACTTAGTTATATATCGATAATAGTCATTTGATTTATTCTCATGTCAACATACTTTACTTCTTTTCTATATATAAAATATATTTAAAGTAAACTAAATTCCATTTTATGGCTTTTATTTCAAACAAGAATTAAAGACCATAAATACTTTTACATTCATTATCATATCATTAATATAGTTTCCTACTCATATAGCCATTGCTATAGCCATATCTTACACATATCCTGCGACTGCTCAATTTCCTCCACTTTAGTCCATTTTGGACTTTTGATTGTCTAATCTTTTGTGGCATTATGTTGCCACTCATGTCGCACATCTACATTTGTCGAACAAGCTCAGCCCTTTTGAGTGCTCAATCGAGCTGTAAAAGCCGCTTTGCCTGGATTTTTTTTTTTCGTTTTGGACTCCTCTTCAATTTTCGTCTATTTCCCGGCTCACACATCGTGCGCCAATTTCTGACCAACAGAAAACGCTAATGATGCAGCCGCCAGCGTACTCTCCAGAGCAGGTCCACTGTGAGTTTTTCTTCTATCTAAAGTGCTAGAGAGACCCATGAGTGGACGGTGTGACGATGCGACTGGGAAGCAAAGGAATATATCGAAGCAGAAGCTGCATCAACTCAAAAAAAAAAAAAAAAAAAAAAAATTAAATTAGTAAATAGGATTGCAACATATGTTGCGAATGTTAAATAACTGATGGAGATTTATATGAGGTGGACGAATTTAACATTTTTATAATATTTGTGTAACAATTGTTGTGTGAGCTTGAAGTAATTGAGTATTGAACATATAATGATTGAGTTACACTCAAGCAGCGTTAAGCATCTTTACATAATAGCGTCGACATATAATGAGCAGAATTTACATCTTGCCTTTTCAACGTGCTTCTCAAACTCTTCTTCTTGCTGGGTGCTGTCATCCTGTAAAGATTGTATAACCATGATGCCGTACTGCCTCGGGAAAGCTTATCATGTATCTTGACATATGTATAGATGTGTGTGTAATATATATATATGTATATTTAGTTTTCCATATATTTCCCTTTTCAAATTATTGGCCATTAGATATTAAGCACTTTGATTACACATTTGTATATATGGATATATCTAAATACATATATCAGCTGTGCTTTAATAATTATTGAGCTTGTCTTGAAACTCGTAACTGAGAGCGCGGTTGGTTAGTCTTATTACATAAATACAGAAAGCCGATTATTTTAAACTTTTATTAAATTTCAGCATTTGAGTATCATGTGTACATAGTTTTAAGCTTGTCGATAAAGAATTGATAAAGTATTAGAGAAAAGCTGCATGCTTGTGAAGAAGTTTTGTATAAAATTGTGAAATTGTGTTTATAAAAAGGTTCTCCCTGTTAAGGAGCTCAGGAGCTGAATCGATGATATGTACATTGAGCTAAAGATTAGCTAGTTGATTGGTTCTACTAGCAGTGCCGCTGCTTCTCTCTCACTCTCTCTTTCTCTCTTCAGTCTCACTCTCTCCGCCACTCTGCCTCTCGCTGCCTCTCCAAATGCAGTTGGGGGCGAGCTCAGTCCAAGGTTAACCTGTGCCCTGTTGCCGCCGCAATGAAAACTCACAAGTGTAACATTTGTTGCCCATGGTTTGTTTGTTGTTTGTTTAATTAGGTAATCGGCTTCTGTTTGCACTTGCAGTTGCATTTCAACTATGTATTTTAGAGCAGCGCCCGTGCCAAAACTGAACAAAAAAGAGAGAGAGAGAGAGCGAGAAGGAGGGTGGAAGGGAGGCGGAGAGTGCGTGTGAAATATGAACTGAAACTAGTTAACTAGCTACAGGATTTATTTTGTGTTTAATTGGATTCGACTGGTCCGCAGGGAGTCGTCAATTGCAGTCGCTGATAAATGCCTGTTTAGTTTGTTAATCATACGCCGCGTTGCACAAACGCCAATGCAGCGCAGCCGCACATCCGCACAGCCGGAATCATCATCTCATCCATTGGTCATTGTTGTCCAACGGCGACTGGGATTTGGCAGCGCAGCCATCACTGCCGGCTGCTGCTGGTGTTTGTGGTGTTGGCCACAGTCGCATCATTAATGCCGCCAGAGGCAGCCAACATGTTGGCTAGTAATACACTTGGCAACATGTTTGCTTCACCCGGACGGCCGTCAAAATCCGTTTCCGTACTCTGAAAAGAAGCTGGCCGCAAATTTTGTTTTCATTTGCGGCAGCTTGCCTCAATGATTTGTTTCATAAGCAGCAGCTTTTGATCTATCTAAAAAGCATTTATCAATTTCTGAGAATATGCGCACAATGGAAAGCATTTGGATTCCTGAGAATTTTTTTTCAATTCATATATGTACATAAACACATACATATATATATATATATAAATATCTGATGTCCACAGCAATTAAGACTATCTGAGAGAGCTTCAAGCCGCATGCCTCAAATGTTTGCTGGAATAGTAAAAGCCAAGACTTGCAGGCTGGCATTCGATGTCAAAGACTGCCTTGACGGCTCTAGCGGCCTTCTAGTGTTACCTCAACAGCTGCTGCCCACTGCCACGCCCATCGAGTTGACAGTGGCCAGGCCAAGCTAACATTTCTCCATCTGTAACAAAATTTATGAATTTTATATAATTATTGCATAGATCTTACGCATTGCACGACTAGCGGGGCATTTCAAGTTTAAAATCCTTTCTTTAATTGTTTCCAATATTTTTCATTTGCACCACTGTGCAGCATGTTGCTAACGGTTACGCAGGTGCTGCTGCTCCTGCAGCCGGTGGTGCTGCAGCTGCAGTTTATTTATTTGCTCTTATTGCTTTTGCCCGCTTTGTTTGGCCTTTTCGCCGTTGCCTACCAATTTCGTGCGCCAGCCTAACGAAGGAAAAAATCGTTTATATACCCTGTAAACATCAGCCAAGGGGAGTTTCAAATGTAGTAGTCAAGCAGTAAACAACTAATGTGTGGACTTCTGGTAAATCGACAAATTTTGACCTATCGATTTTTATCGATTCTATACAAGTCTATTGGTAGGCAAGCGCATAGTTATGTGAGTGTGAAGACAGGGTATCTCTAAGTCCATCAAACATAATTATTTCCCAGTTGCAAGGATTTTGCTTTCTGTTCTTCTTCCTCTTTTTCTTTAAGCTGACAGTAAAAGCTAAAAGGGCAAAAAAAAAGGGTCTGCACTATACCAAATCGATAAATATCGATAAATCGAAGACTCTTAAGTAACGTTCTATCAAACATCAGGCACTTCAATGAGCTCTTACTAAGCACAGAACATCTATAAAGTCCATCAAGCACAATCGTTTTCCACTTACAAGGATTCTCCTTTCTGCTTGATTTTTTTTTTTTTTTTTTTTTTTTTTTGGAGCTGCTAAAGCTGAACAGCCAAAGCCAAAAAAGAAAAAAAAAAGGAAAAAGCTGGAGGAGCTGGAGGAGCTGCAGCAGCTGCTGCACTTTCACTCATGGCCCGCCCGCTGGTTCGGTGCGCGACGCTCGCAACATGTTGAAAGCGAACGTTTGGCGAGCCGAAGCGCCCTGCCGAGCGGCGCGTCGTTTGTGGCTCGTCGGTAGACACGAACCGCTGCCGCTTGTCAGTTGCGTAGCAAACGTCTAGCGTGAAGGTTTAGCAGCAGCGACTAAAGCGAGCCCAAATAGCAGAGCCGCCGGCAGTAGCAGCAGCAGCTAACTAGCAGCAGCAGCAGCAGCAGCAGCAACAATAGTAGTAGAAACAACAGCAGCAGCAGCAGCAGCAACAGCACGTGCAACCAACAGCAGCAACGGCTGCAAGCAGCAAGCGTATAACCAACAACCAACAACAAACACATAACAACAACCGACAACAACAACAACGCGCTCGTGTCTAAAGTCGAGTGTTTTACCATTTCTAGCCGCCGTTCGACTACTATATGGTATATATATATATTTTTTTTTGTGTTTTCGTTTTTATATTCATTTTGTGTCGCGTGTTGAGTGCAAAAGGTGCTTGAAAACCAAATCAAAGTGCACAGCCCTGGAAATGTAACGAGTGTGTGTGTGTGTGTGTGTGTGTGTGTGTGTGTGTGAAAGCGAAGCCAATGAACGACTCTCAAAAGACACTTGCAAACACGAGCAATTAGTGCAGCAGCAGAACTTGTTGCAGGGCAGAGAGAATCCCTGAACAGCTCACGAATCGCTTAACGAGAGAGATCGAGATTTTGGTGACTTTTGTAGCTGTTGTTGTTTATATCATTCTGGCCATATAAGTGGACCATGTGTGGCGTGTGTCCCATATATGGCCGTTATAGTTTATGTTTATGGCCCAAGCCAGATCTGTTGCGATTATCTCCGTTGGGCTCTCGTGGGCGTTTGCCATTTATTGCAACAAATTAATTGCTTTTATTGATTGTTGTTTGTTTAGCATAAAACTTAAGCCGTCCAATGAAAGAGTGGGAGAGCGAAAGAGAGAAAGAGAGAGAGAGAGAGGGAGAGGGAGAGGGAGAGAGCTGGAGCTAAAGCGCACGTGTGTATAGGCTGTATTACGCGTATTATCGCTTGATCTACAACGATGTGACTATGGCCAGGTGGGGGGCCACAGATAAGCGGAAATTCAATTAATCACTATGATTAATGCTAGTCGCTTGCTCCTGTCGCACACCCAAATAGCCACACACAGCCTCCATTCCAGCTGAAATTTGAATCGGGCCAACAGCCGTTGTCAAGCGGCGTGCAGACCATTGGCTATGACTCAAGGAAATCAAAATCAAAAGCTTCGCATACACAACGACAATTGTTCCTATCACTCGCTATCAATTAGCGCTATAAACGCGTCAGCGAGGGCAGGCAGAAGAGCAAGAGGGCCCGTTTGACATAAGTAGAGTAACTAGAGTAGCGATAGACTTTGTCCACATGTCGCTAATAGTTGTGGTGCTTGGTGGTGGGTGGTGGGTGGTGGTGCGGAATTGGGCCGAGGGCCTCTTACTGTCAGCCGAAAATGCGGCCGAATGTCTAAGAATTTTTGGCAGCAATCAAAATTATTGGACGGCCACCAAAACAAAAGAAACACTAAGCCAACAGCGGCAACAACAACAACAACAACAACACGAGTGCGAGAGCAGCGACAATGTCTAGCAAAATTAACACATTTTATGCGCCAGCCAAAACTATTTAAAAATATTCATCAAGCGAAAAATGAAAAACGAACCATGAACAACTCTTGAGCAGCAGAGCAGACAAACGCTGCAGCCGAAATACCCTGTAAAAGTTGAAAGTCATGCTGGCAATCTAAATATGCTAGAAAAGATTTTTACAATTGGAAAATTAAAAAAAATAAATAAATAAATA